ATATATATATATATATATATATATATATATATATATATATATATATATATATATATATATATATATCTTCGTTCTATCTACGTTTATCTTCATCTAGAAACGATAAAATATATAGTTAGGTTGTTAGCGTCGAAATCAAATGAATGTGTTTCTGCTTCCTCAGGTGTACAGACAGAATGTAATATGTGTTGTCTCTGTTTCCACTATTATTTGTTTATTCTTTTATTACTATTATATATTAGTTATTGTTACTCATCAACGTCGCTATACAGTCCGCCTTCACTGTAATTATTATTTTTAGTTTTTGAAATTAAAATTAATATTTTCTTAGTATTCATTATTATATTATCATTACTAGACGTCAGCCCCTTACTGCTGTTGTTATTATAATACATAATAATATTATAATACTATTAGTATTACATAAGGGTTTGTTGCTGGTGACCCCGTGAGGTGTACATACACCAGAAACATTTCAGCAAGAGCAAGAGCAACATCGTTGGAGTGTCTACGCAGACTAAAACTTTTCACTTTTTTCTTTTTTTCTACTAAATACCTCGCGCGCCACTCTCCCTTTACGGGATGATGATAACACTGTCTTGCTTTAACCTGTTGTATCTCAAGGGTTTAGGGTTTGCTGTTCTAATTCAAGGGTTTAGGGTTTTCTGTTGTAATGCAAGGGTTTAGGGTTTTCTTTTGTAATGTAAGGGTTTAGGGTTTGCTGTTCTAATTCAAGGGTTTAGGGTTTGCTGTTGTAATGCAAGGGTTTAGGGTTTGCTGTTGGAATGCAAGGGTTTAGGTTTTTCGTTTGTAATTCAAGGGTTTAGGGTTTGTGTTTTTGTGTTTCGTTTTAGCGGCGATATGTTTGTAGACGCGGATAGATGTATTTGAGTTGAATGGTTTTGTAGTTGTTTAAACCCAAGTATATGATATTTAAATAAATATATAAAAATATAAATATATTTATATTTATATATTTACATATTTATTTATTTATTTACATTTTATTTATATATATATATATATACTGCAATATACACCACAAGTTAGGCGATACAACCAGCCATAGAAAGGTGGTGTTCGCGGCGTCCCAGCTGCTGCTGCGTTTGTTAGAGAAAGCAGCAGCAGCAGAAAGAATATGATGAAATAAATGAGTAGAAAACAAAGAGAAATAAATTTATAAATATTTATAAATATTTTTAATTCATGGAGCTAGAGTATCTGCGTGTAATCTACACTGCGGGCTCTGTGTTTTCATCAATTCAGTAACGTGCTGAACTAAACATGAACTACCCACAAACAGAGGAACCCGCTGATGCAAATCCTGGGGAATTATATCTAATATTCTATCAAACCCATCTGTTGCTTCTCCCCCGGCTTGTTCTGCAAGCAGAGCCATAGGATTCGCCTCATACAATAAACGCAGCTTTCCCTTAGGATCTGAATATACACAACACATACACATACACCACAAACCCTAAACCCTAAACCCTAAACCCTAAACAACACACAGCAAACCCAAACACCTACTCAACGAATCATGCAAACGGAACAGAGAAAACAAACAACAATCAACACCAGCCCGTAGCAGCAGAATACACAAAACCCCCCCTAGTCAGCACTAGGGTTTAAAGTCTAGGGTTTAGGGTTTAGGGTTTAGGGTTTAGAGTGCTGCTGCTGCCCGTCTGTTCATCACCTTTCTTTGTTGGGGGGTACATATAGATGCCACCCTGCAGCAAATTTCTGTGGAAATCAGAAACTAAACTCCCGATATAGCGCAGAGAGAACGGCCCCTTCTGCACGCAAACCCTAAACCCTAAACCCTAAACCCTAAACCCTCAGCCGTTGCCGTTGTGGTGTTGCCCCAAGATAAACTGCTGAGAGATAAAAAGGGGTTTAAACCCTCGACAGGCTGCGAACCCGCGAAGCACTAATTCTTAGTTTTCCAAGCTGAAACCTCTAAACCCTAACCCCTAAACCCCAAACCCTAAACCCTAAACCCTAAACCCTAAACCCTAATTACCGTTCCGTTGTGGGCTTCTTCGATGAAGCTTTTGACTCCCTCCGGGAACGCTTTGTAGTTCCCTTCATTAACGCTGTATATTTTTGCCTTTTCCTGCAGACGCAATGAAGCATATTCCACACATAAACCCTAAACCCTAAACCCTAGAGCTAAACCCTAAACCCTAATAAACACTGGGGTTTACCGCTACCCACCGGAAAGTGCATGTTGGGGTGTGAAAGGAAGAAAGTGCCGAGAGAAGGGTCCAAAGTAAACCCATTGACGCCCGAACCCGTCGTCATCACCTGCGCATACACCCCAGCCCCCAGGAGAATTCAGGTGTACGTACACTGCAATATATCCTTTGCAGCATCTCCCTCTATCAACAACAACAGCAGTTGCAACAGCA